CATTCCAGAGCAAATTTCAGAGTCTTTTCTGACATCCATTTTGGTCTTTTCTTTCTCTCCTGTCTTTTTAATGTATTTTGCTTTCTTCCTGTATGATGTTCTTGATGTCATCCTACAATTTGTCTGGTCTTCGGTCATTGGTGGTCAACATATCAAATCTATTCTTGAAATGGTCTCTACATTCAGGTGGAATATACTCAAAGCTGTACTTTGGCTCTTTTGGACTTCTTTTAATTTTCTTCAGTTTCCAAACTGGCAAATCAAATTGGAGTAGAGAAGGAAATACTGTGGAAAAAGTTAATATTTCAAAAATATTATCTCGCCACACAAATAAGTTGAGATTGAAACAGTGGAAATTGAATTAGAAGGTAGGTTGCCTTTAGAGAGGTCATCCCAAGAAAATAAGGAGAAATCCAGAAAAAATTGAGGGATAGATTGAGGACATTATTTTATTAGAAAACCTATGTCTATTCCTAGCTTTCTCATCCTGACTTTCACCTCAATTTGCCTGATGGAAATTTTCCAGGCATATCCTATTTTGCTACTTTATATCTAGATATCAAACATGTCAGTTTCTAGCACTTTAATGAATTTTGTAATCCAATAAGTAGTAGGTGCTTGAGTTTTTTTGTGTGTATGTGTTTTACTAATTTATTTTCTTTTGTTGTGTTGAGAATATATGCAGCACAACAAACACCAATTCAACAATTTCTACATGCACAATTCAGTGACACTTATTTGAGTTGTGCAACCATTTCTCACCCTCCCTTTCCAAGTGTTTCCTCTCTCATTAACATAAACTCACTGCCCCCTAAGTTTCCTATCTAATCTTTTGAGTTTTTGTTTGTCAGTTTGATTCCTCATAAACAGTTCTTTAAAAAGCATAATGCTCAAGGAAGATATATGGGGTCACCATGAGTTGGGTCCAACTCGACGGCACATAACAACAACAATTAAGCTAAACAACTCAATGAATTTTTAATAAACAAATGAATAAATGAAGCAGTGGACATCATTGGAGATATTAAAACAGCACAGAGCTATATAAGAAGAAGCTTCATAAATGCTTCTTATTAGAAAGATTGAAATTAAAAATTAATGTAATATTTTCTTTTGCTCACCAGGTACTTCATAGTTTTGTGGACCAGTAGATATATATTAGAGAACTTGTTTTATTAACAAATCTCAGCCAGGCACATCTAGCTGTTGAATGTTAACACAGGGAAAAAAGAAAAAAAAAAAGCCTCTGTAGAGCTGTGCTAAGGATACTGGACTTTAACTCCTTGATTGGAAGTATTACTACAGCAATGAGCTGACCTGCAAGATAGATCATTGAGATCAAAGGCTATGCATTATGATATTTACCTTTTAAAAGGTAGAACCTACTCTGAATTTCATAGAGTGCAGCTTTCAACAGGAAGCTACAGCATGAACTCATGGTATCTGCCTTGGTTTCTGTCCTTTGCTGCTGTCCTTGTGGTTTCTGGCTTGGTAAGGAAACAATATAGGAAAAAATGATCAGAAAAATGTGAGGCAGTTGATACTGATTGTTAAGGGATAGTTTGTTTTTCATTTTTAAAAAAGAATTTCAAGGTATTAGTGACAACAGTGACATGAATGTTTCTTTTTGGTGAGTGGAGAAGGCTGGGTATAGGAAGTA